ATCCTGTCTAATCATCAAAACCATAAATCATACGCTCATTTTTTTTCTGTTTCACGCAAAAAGTCTATAAGGGGTTTCCAGCCAGCAATAAACGTGATATTGTCTTTTCTCTGATCAAAGAAGTACCCTGCCAGTTTTTCATACGGCCTTGAAGACGCGGTTTGTTTGTTCGGTTTTCTTCCCCAAGCCTTGGGCCAGGATGCTGCATAAACCTGAGTGTGCTTCAGAGTTAATTGTCCCCAGAATGTTTTGTTTTTGTTGAAATTTCATATTGCACTTACCAGGTGAAATGTTATTTTGCATTTACAGAAGCTCTCCAGAGTCACATAGTAAGTGGGTGGTCTTAAACATGGAAGAAAGAAGCAACAAACTAGATCAATGAAACCACACGGGCCTACAGAAGAGCAAAACTGCACCCCACTAGGAGTTTTCTGCAACACCCCGTAGCAGCCACCTGCTCTGCCGAAGAGGTCAACATTTATCCCCTTTATCAGTTAACATTTGAATGAAGAAGTGGCTTGAAGCATCGGCCTGCAGTCCAGGGTTCAGGAACGTCTCAAATTGTAGAAGCCACGCTGGTGTCGTACTGATATCATAACGTCACTAAGCAAGTGACATGAGCGAAGCAATTTGCAGCAAGCGGCCTTAGGGAATTTGAAACTGTGGGGTATTTGGTGAACCCATGAGGAGGTCCAACACAGAGTAAATTCCATGAACCATCAAGATTTGTACAAGCTGCCGTCAAATAGATACAATATGCACATCACTGCCAGAAAAATGGCAACCACACATTTTGTTTCTCCCTCTGGCACAATTGAATGCCTTTCCAATTTTGACAAGATCATTTATTTATATGTGGCCTTACTCCATATGAATGCATGGCAGTGTGAAATAAAAAACTGAAATTATCAAATCAGAAAAACAGAATAGTACAGAAATAATAATCCTGAAAACTGTCAAAACCTTTCAGAAGTGATTACTGTAAAGCTAGAAAGAGTACAAATATTAGGCATACTGCTGGCAGATCATGGAGGATAATTTTCCCTGAAAGGTGATTATGGACAAATCAATTAAATTCATATTTGATTCTGGACTAAAACAACATTTCATATAAATCCAATCCAGATATTTTGTTTTGATACTGTATATATTTATTGTTTGCTGATGATAAACACCCTTGTTTGTCTGGGGACAAGCACCATTAGAACGATAAGAATATAATGAGGTTGGGTGTAGAGTGAATATAAATAAGACACGATAGAATGTTGAGGCTGCGCTGACAAGTCCTTCAAGAAAGATATCATCTTCTGGAATGGTTTCTGACCAGAACTTCCTCCATGAGAATTGATCAGTGACATGGTGAAGTGGATAGATCAAGTGTCTTTCCTGCCTGTTCCCAGAACTTCCTACTTATCAGTAGGATAAGAGAAAAAGGCCCTAAGTTTGGATCCGTGTTTCCAGCAAACAAGGAGAACTTGATGCTAGCGGAAAAAACGGCCCAACTATCAAACGAAATTCCTGCAGTTAGCCCTTTAAAAGAAGCTTCAGGAACTTGTTTTAGGAATAGGTTCTTTAAGAGAGAGTTCATGTATCGACTTCTGCTTTTTGAGTCTGTACCTCTCAGAGGCAAGTGCCTAGCTGCGTTAAGCATCATAATTTGCCAGTGCAAAGATAACACACTTGGCATAGCTTAAAAAATTAATTATATAGAGAATGTATAGTTAAAAAAAGGAAAAGAAAAGAAGACTTTGAGTCAAGCTTGACTCCTGGAGATGGCATCCGTGTGCTTTTCTTCATAGTGTTATGGATTGCCAATGCTTTCTTTTGGGATGTTGCTTCCAGTTTCCCAGTCTGGCCTTAGAATTCTCAGATGGTCCCCCATCAGGTCCAATGATGTTTAGCTTCTGAAATCAGGTAAGGTTGACTAGGTGCAACTACCAGTTAAAACAAAGGATGTTGTTTTATTAGGCTTACTTACTACATCAAGAAATATTTAGAGTACAGCACCTTTGTTAGAGTTGGTTTCAAGGGTTGGCTTCATCTGGAGCCACAGAGAAGCAGACAACCAGTGACTGCTTATGGACAATACTGATGACAGTTGCTGAAACACCTCCTAACTCCTGTTTGCTTTCTCTCACTTCATTGGTGTACCTGTCTCTTGGCCCAGGGCTGCTCGACTTTTTTACCTGTGCTCATTCTCTCTGCCCTTTGCCTCCCTTGAGATAGTCTGATGTGTACATGAGTCGCAGGTTGTGTCCCCTGAAGTCATGACACGTTTCATTATTTAGCACCTTGCCCTTCTATGGACTCCAGCCACTCTTAGCCTTTGTCCAGACATTCTTGGCTTTGCTCCCACCCAGTCTTGTTCAGCCTCTAAGAGATGATGCCTCTGGAAGACAAAAACAATCCGTTTTTGCCCTGGGGAATATCCATCTAACGTAACCATTCAGATACCTGCTGCCTCCACTGTCAAGACATCGTGGAAGTGTCTTTACTGCTTTCTGTTCACCAAAATCTCTCCAGAGAGTCTAAAATGTGTTTAAGAGTAAGAACTCCCATGAGAATAAACTCACTGTGTAGTGCTGACCACTATGACATGAAGCTATCAGAAAATTGGTTACATACTTCATATTCTATCCCAGAAAACTTCTGGAAACTATAGTTTTCAGAATGTGGAATGCAATAGACAGCATTCCCACAGTTTTTGCATAGTTTTTTGTTTGCCAAAGGAAGAATTCCTTTGGTGAATTGATCTGAATTAATTTCTCATGCATCTTTAACTAGGCAACTTCCCCTGTGGATAGAAATCTTTAGCCTTTTTGTAACCGATGGCAGCAGAAGCCAACTTCTGATAAAGGCTTAGATTTGGGTCTATCACTGTCCCATTCCCCCCAGATCTGCATTTGTAGTAAGGTTGCAGAGGTCTTGAGAAAAGGGAGGTGTGACCCTCTAGAAAATATCTGAAATTCATAGGGAAATTGCTTTTGTGTGTGAGAGAGAGAACTGGATGGTTCTGAGGATTCTGTGACAATTTTGTACAAAAATCTGTCAGCATGACAGGATCAGAAATAGAACAGAGATACAATTTGTTCAGTGTGCAGAAAATATTTATTTATTGTTCCTGACATGTGCACTCCCAGTACACATTCTGTCTCTCAAAACATATGAGGATAGATCCCAATAAAACATTATTAACTGAGATGAAGCAGCATTTGGCATTGGGGGAATAGTCTTCTTAAGGCCCAAACCAAGAAACTCTGGTTACAATTGCCATTTGTATTCTCCGGAAAGCGTGCCTAGTAAAAATCACCAAAACATTCATCATTGCTTTGGAATGGCACCTGTGCTTTCTCTTTTCCAGTGCACTGAGAACACAACTGGTTTTTGTGAATCTACATGCATACTTTTTAGCTATTTCATTATTTGGAAACATTTTTCATACTGTGTAGCTTTGTATTCATTCGCTGTTCAATTCAGGCAATTTGGTTAATTCAGATGGCATTGTTTCAATTAAGCCTTGGTTCAGGGTTAGCGTGTTGCATATGTAGGAAATAGTATAAACCAGGGGTTCTCAAACTGGCCCTCTTGAAATGGCTAGCAAACTGTGAAGAATTCTCCAAACTATGGTGGATACAGACATTTTTTAAAACTAGAACTATCTTTAATTGAGTTTGGATAAGTGTGCTGTATTCAGACAGCCCAAATGTGGAACTATTTGAAAAGGTGGAGTTACAGATAGGAAAGGTAACTCCATGGCACAGATTTTGGAGAAAATAGCTACCGGGAAGTGATTCTGCACAGTAACACCGAGATGGAAACGGAGAGGCACAGAGACTGCATTCACATCATATGGATAGCAGGTTACTAAATTAACCCACTGAACATGAACTAATCAAACGTTTGGAGTCACACAACATACTGAACTATATAAAAAAATGCTAGCCAGGTACAATCTGAACAAACTGAACAAACTCCCTGTGCAAAACAAGCGACACAAATCTCTCTGAGTTAACCAAAAGTAAAAAGTTTACTGGAAGCGTTTGCAAAGGCTGGTGGGCCTCACAGTGTGCAAGCGGGAAGCCACGCCCACATACAAACTCCGACATAATTATATACATTCCCGATCGCAAGTCCCTCCCCTTTTCCCCATTGGCTAAGGTACTCAGGGTGTACACTCTTTCCGGCCGCTCTATGATTTTTCCCTGGTCCCTCCCACCTCATCCATTGCATCTATGGTAATTTTCTCAAGGTTTCAGCTAATTTGCATTATACTGATAAAGACTGCCCCAGATTAAATCAATTTAAATTTACATTGTCCCTCACAAAGAGGCAACTTCCTCTCCATCTGCCACTATTTGATAACCATAACACTTAACACGACTTCCTTATCTCTCACATCCCTTATGATTTAAGGGAGAAAAGACAGTATACACCTAAAGAGACTGGAAGAAACAGACTTGCCTCATGTTAATGTTGAAAGATAATAGCTTGAAGCTCACAAAACTTTTGTTCCAGGGGAGGATGAAAGTTTTGAAACTGAACGTTTTCAGATTGGATTTCAAGAAGCCATTCTTTGAAGAGACCTGCAAAAATCATATTGAAGGCAATTTACTTGGAATAACAGAGTTGTAAAATATTGGGTTATGGGACTACTAGAGCATCTCTTCGCTAATAGTCCCATAATCCAATATTTGGAAAGAGTTCATGGTTTGATGTTTCAACTAAATGTTGTGGGATATACAAACTTAAAACTAAACATCCGTTACCTCTGGGCTGCTAACAAATGCTCTGGTGGCATTCCTCCCCACTACTGTATTTGTATTTAAATAGCAATAGTTATTTTAAAATGTGTATCTATACATAGAATTTGGGTGTGCTTGCCTTCAAGGATGCGGCCTTCAAGTCAGCCCTGACTCTTGGCCTCTGCCTGGACAAGTTCCTGCAGTTTTCTTGGCAACATTTTCTGAAGTGGCTTATTTATTTATTTATATGTCACATTTATAGAGCCCCCCAACTCACACCAAGCAACTCTGGGCTGCTTTTCTTACCACTGCCTTCATCTTAGGGCTGAGACAGTGACTGGCCCAAGGTCACCCAGCGGTCTTTGGGTCTAAGGCAGGACTAGGATCCACCTTTTTCTGGTTTTTAGTCTGGTGCCTTTAATCACTACATCCAACTGGATCCACACATATAGATGAACAAAAGCACATTTGTACCCTCTTTCATTCCCTTGCGTCTGATGCCTTTTTTCTTTTCTGCCGGCGCAGAAGTGGCCACAAAATAAATATATTAAATCATTGTCCAGTTGAACTCAGAGGAATTTATTTATTTATTTATTTATTTATCAAATTTATGTGGCTGTCCGTCTCACAAATGGGGCTCTGGGCTCCGTATAATAAAAACAACAGTTAAAACATTCTTGAAAAACCATTAAAAAACCATTCGGCATAAACAGAAACAAGATCATGGGAGAATGTGTCAGAATCTTACACATAATGCAATCATTAATCGTGAATTAATACAAATTAATCTTGTTAAGTGGCATTGCAAAGTTAGGATTGTAAGTTGAGCTGTTCTGCACTAATCAGGCCTCACCTTAGGTACAGTGTCCAGTTCTGGGAAACATACTTGAAGGATTCAGATGATCTCATGGGGGTTATGAGAGAGGTCATGAGGATGAAATTGGAAGTACTGGGTTTGTTTAAATTTGAGAAGTCCGAAGGAGGATGTAATAGCAATTTTCAGGCACCTGAAAAGATCTCATGGAGAAGAAGGTCATGATCTGTTTCTTATCATCCCCAAGTGTGGGACAAGACACAGAATAAAGGTCTTAAAGGCCAATTCCAGTTAAATGTTAGGAAAAACTTGGTGACAGTAAGAGCAGCTTGATAGTGGAGTCAACTGTATAAGGGAGATGCACTCCCCTTAAAGTGTTTTAATTTGGATTCCTTTAGTGAGCAAGAGATTAAAGATGGAAACATTCTATATATCTGTGTGACCATTCTTGACAACAGGAATCTGTTGTCCTTGAGCAAGGATTGATGAAGCAGTTGCTATAACTACTTCTGCTGCAGAGAGAAAGGAGATTTATTTATAGGAAATACATTATGGGGATAAGCAAAGGTTAGCACCCCGTTAACTACCTCCTAGTGGGAGGCAAATCAGTAAGTGTGTGTGCCATGTGGTGTCTGCCTGGGAAGAGAGACAGAAGGAAGTGATCTCAGATTAGGGAGCTCTTAGATAAGGCAGGCAGGCAGGCAGAGTGATAGACAAAGAGGGGGCACAGAGTAATTCTTTAATTTTCTATCCTCACCCAACTGCCCCCTTGTGCTCAATAGGCCATGATGTACTAAAGAGTTAGTGCCATTGAATTTGCACCATTGGATGTGATGGTCCAAACCAGTGTTTCTCAACCTCAGCAACTTGAAGATGCTGGAAGGGGAATTCTGGGAATTGAAGTCCACACATCTTCAAGTTGAGGAACACTGGTCTACGTAGTCCGTTTCAACTGTATGATATGTATATGGAGACAAACAGCATGCCTTCTCCTTCTGGTGTGGTCCTCTAAGAATTCAAAAGTGGGGTGGGCAATATCTGTGTAACCTTGAAGTCAGGTTGTTATGACTACGCTCCCTGAAATGGTAATTTGAGTGCAAATTGAGCCAAGAAATTGAGTGATGTTCAGCTCAAACTGATAAAACTGTTGAATTCTCTCTTCTGGGGTCTTGGATGAATGAAGTTTAACTAGCTTTTAAAAAAAAGTTAATGGGAAACACATCCACGGAGCCCTCATTCTCACTACAAACGTCAGGCCAGAAGCCAAACAAAATACTACTTGGGGTTTTCTCAGCTTTCTCAGTGTGTTTTTACATTTCCCCCCTCTCAAATGCTAGTCTGGAGGCATACTTCTGCTGCTCAGCAGGAGGGGGAAGAGTTTAAATGAAATATTATATTTGGTTCTCCTTTAAATAACAGCCAAGTTAAGTGCTTGAGATATAACGGTGGTTTCCCAATTGTGTTTTAGGGGACTCTTAGATTTCTCAATGGGAAGATCAGTCAAGTAAGCTAAGATTCCCTAAAAGATAAATGACCTGCTATGAGTTCTCCACGGCAGCACGATGTGGTTTTATGTATCATGATACAAGAGGAGACCTAACCTGTCCAGTGCAGTATTTGCACTGGCTATAGGTTCTTATAACCCTCAGAATTCTCCATAGGATATGCAGGTGATGTTCTAGCAAGCACAATGGCTACTATTCCATTTGCATTTGACTATAAAATTATCATTTTCTCCATTTTCAAATCACTACACATATTAGGGCCTGTCCCTACAGTCAAGTTACAAGGCTACCCACTAATGCTCTGCAGCAGTTCAGATTTGAAGGGCAAAAATCTGATCTGCAGCGCAGGGTACCTGTGTTCACGTGGCACCTGTCGGAAGCACCTTAAATCAGGTGTGTCTTTTCCTGGGTTTGCAAGGCTGCTTCCCTGCAGTGCAATTCCAGGAAAAGATGCACTTGGATTAAGGTATCCCTGTGTACCCAAGTGTGCTCTGAACCACATTTTGCCTTCAAATCTGGATTGAGGCTCAGCCGTGCTACATACTCACCCTTGAGTAGCCAGAAAACAATACCAGCAGGCAGATAGGCTGTCCTCATTGCTAACCCCCATCCTCAATGGCAGATGCTCCAGGTTCAGCAGCATAGTTAGTCTAAGACTAGTTAAAGACCTGTGCGCCTTCATCAAACCAATCCTTTTCCTTAGCATATTATGTGAATGCAACCATTATCACACTGAATTCTGGCGAACGTCTCATAGTGGACGTAACAAGAGGAAAAGAAGGGTGTAGTTGGCTGAGCTTGAAGTGTTTTATCTGTGCAATATTAAACCATGATTCTCTCTATAGATTAACTATATCCCATACTTCTCATCTTTCGCTAACTGATGTCCTCCAGATTTCCAGCAAGGGCATGGTGGCTAGAAATTCTGGAAGCTTCGCACCAGATTTGAGAAGGTTGGTTTTTAAAAACTCAACACTTGCCATGGTGTCCATTTCATCATAACACTGGGAGTAGAAACCTTTCTGAACCACCTCTGAATTTGGGGTGGAAGGAGCTGTTTTGGAGCAGAATTCCTCCTTCTTGAGGGTAAGGTTCCAGTCAATGGGGACAGGAAGAGGTTGAGACCAAGGCCCCCACCCCCCAGTTACCCTTTCCCCACTCCTAGTTAGCATAAATGTAAGACCATTGGGAGAAGTCATCCATCAGTGGAGGGTCAGACATCACTATGCTGATGGAACCTAGTTCTATATCACAACCTGAGGTCAAACAGGTGATGCAGTTGAGACCCTGTCCTGATGCCTGGAAGCTGTTAGGGTCTGGATGAACAGAATAAATCTTAACCAACAAGGTGGAATGGCTGTAGGTCAGGAAGCCATCTGCTTCCTGGGATATTCCATCCATAGCTTTAGATGGGCTTGCAGTTCCCTCTTTGGAACAGTTTTGTAATCTGGAAGTCTTCTTAAGTCACAGTTCCTTATCAACAAGCAGGTGGCAGAAGTGGCAAGGAGTGCCTTGCACAACCACTAATTGGCAGCAAAATATGCCGAGAACTTCAACAACTGCCATCTAGTAGTCATCTGAATTTATGCATCCTGGATCTGGTTGCTCTAGTTCTGGTCAGACTTTGGGGTCAAGTTCAAAATCCTGGTGAAATGTTTTGGGAATGAGAAAGCAGACCTTTAAAGAAACTTCTACCTGCCTTGTTAATGACAAGCTAACCCCCTAAATGCCTGTTTTGAAAAGCTTTACTATTTGTTGTATTTATTTATTTTTCTTGCTTTCTCCTTCAGCTGAAAAAGAAATCAGATTGTACCAGTAGAGGGAGCTTTCATCTTGCAAATCTCAGGAAGGACAATTTTTAAAAAGGGAGTCCTAAAGTCAATAAGCATCTTGATGCAAAGATGGGGTCAGACCTGTAAGCTAGCCCAAAGTCTTGGCAGGATAGCCAAAGAATAGGCAGCTTGTTTGAACCAGCCTGGGCCATGCCATTTAATCAGAAAAAAATGGGGGAGGGATAAAGAAAAGGTGGGGGGGCACTTCCCTTAGCCCCTCAACCTCAGCTCTGGTGGTGGCCTTCCTTAATGGACCATAGTTCCCAGGAGTCCTAGCCAATAATGAAGGATGCTAAGAACAATAACTTAGCAACATCTGGAAATCCACCCAATCCTGTTCCTGAGCTTGCCACCTGTTCTGTATTTCAAGGAATTGTTCTTTATTTAGGATTAAAATGTTTTCAAA